AAGCAGCCTGTGTGCTAAATGACCGAGAAGGGTGGCCAACCTCATCAAATATCACACAACCATTACTAAAACGAGGAATGAAAACACAGTACTACTCAAAGCTGTGCTTAGCACTCCTCAAGTTCTGCAGAAACAACACTACAACTAGCTACTAATACACGGCAAAGGACAGGAGCAACTGTATATGATTCAAAATAACTTATTTTAGCAATAGTACAAAACGTGAACTCTTGGGTGAAAAGCTGAAAGCAAAATCAAACCACACACCGTCACCAGTACCACCAGCACCCTCTGGTGAAGCAGCTACAGCACGTAACCAATGGCAGCCAGCAAAAAAAAAAAATCCATTATATATATGCGTGTACAGCATATGTCTAATATCCACGCATCAATTCATATCACAGCAGCAGGGTCACCCACAAAGCCAAAATGAATGAGCCACAACCCTGCATTTTCTTCATCTACACCTTATATCCCAATCCATCTTCAAGATTTCCTGTATCCTTATCCTACCCTTTCTATCCTCTACTTGCCAGTTCTATGGACATCTGCAACCGGGACCGGACCTTGTGTATCAACGTCCCCATACCATGGATATTTCTAACAAGGTAATTGAAGTACGCATCTTCATATTATTTTATATATTTCGCAGGCAATATTGAATGTATTGTAAACAGGCATACTTAAAATAATTTATAGAGCAGTTTGTGGAATCTCTTAGAGCCGTGTGTGTGGAATCTTTGGAGCAGAGTGGAATCTGGCTGTATTGTAGAATCTCTGGAGCTGTGTGCGGAATCTCTGGAGAAGTGAATAGAATATCTGGCGAACTGTGTAGAATCTCTGGAAAAGTGCGTGGAATTTCTGGAGAAGTGTGTGGAATTTCTGGAGAAGTGTGTGGTATTTCTGGAGAAGCGTGTGGAATTTCTGGAGAAGTGTGTGGAATCAAACTTGACGCGTCCTGGGTCATGCCCCCCTTCCCCCTCCAGACGTTCGATTAAGTAATTACCCGAAAGATTTTCTAAGATATGTCATGTTATTGTGATTTCAATGTACATAACCATGTTCATAAGTAATGTCCCACATTACACAGGAAAAAACGAATATTGGTGATAACCTAGTACATTAACGTATTCACAAAACTAGCCTAAACATCCTATTATGTTTAACGAATATAATTTGGTTAAAATTTAGCAATATTTAAACCCTATCATGAAACAGATTTGTTATTTTCGTGATAAAATAAATTATTTCAGCCCATCATTTGACTTGAGGAGTTATCATCGTACGCCAGCCATCATCCTCAGAGAATGTAATTTATCCCTGGAACCGGAAATATAACACTGGATAAGACCGGGTTATGCAACAGACTGGGTGCGAAGCGGTTATAACTGATGCCTGCTTAGCACACTGTATTTCCTTGTCTCCCTCTATGACTGGGATGTGTGTGTTGTATACTTGCCTACCAGTAATTACCGGAGGAGTAAAGTCTACGTCAACAGCTAGTTAGCTCTCAATATAAGATATATGGTATTTACCTAACCTTTAGTAAACATATGAAAGAGTTTTTACCACGTGGTACAATTCACAGTAATTCCATATAAGCATTTAAAATATTTAAAATTACAACAGCCAAATCCGCGCCTTACACTGCACCACAATCAACTGTCATAAACATACGCTACCAAAGTACAGGTATGACTAAAAAAGCAGAACAATACCGCCTTATACCAAACAGAATTTTGTTTTACTTAAGGACTCTAATAATTTACATCTGTTTTAACTGATTTTTTGTTGCTAAATAACAACGGTGAACGAAACAATGAGCCAAATAATGGCTTACCGCCTCGGTGGCAGTATAACCATGCAACTAAACACTGCTGTACTACCTAGTTATGCTTGCCAGGGATGAGCTCTGGCTCTTTGGTCCCGCCTCTCAATTGTCACTCAACTGCTGTACAGATTCCTGAGCCTACTGGGCTCTATCATATCTACATTTGAAACTGTGTATGGAGTCAGCCTCCACCACATCACTGCCTAGTGCATTCCATCTGTCAACTACTCTGACACTGAAAACGTTCTTTCTAACGACCCTGTGGCTCAGCTGGGTACTCAGCTTCCACCTATGTCCCCTTCTTCGGGTACCATCCGTGTTAAAACAGTTTATTTTTATCTACCCTGTCAATTCCTCTGAGAATTTTGTAGGTAGAGATCATGCCTCCCTTAATTCTTCTGTCTTCCAGTGGTGTGAGGTTCAATTCCAGTAATCTCTCCTCGTAGCTCATTCATCTCAGATTGGGGACTAGCCTGGTGGCATACCTGAACCTTTTATAACTTCTTTTGTGTTTGAGTAGATGCGAACTCCCCGATGGAGCCGCATATTGCAGTATTAGTCTGACATAGGAGGTATACATGGTTCTGAATGATTCCTTACACATGTTTCTGAAGGCAGTTCTTATGTTCGCCAGCCTTGCATACGCCGCGGATGTTATTCTTTTGATGTGGGCTTCAGGGGACAGGCCTAGTGTGATATCAACCGCCAAATTTTTCTCTCGTCCTGACTTGAGGGTTTTCCTCTCCCAGCTGATACGTCCAACCACTTGGGCTGGACGACTGAGCGCCGGTCTCGCTTCATTCAGGTCGGCGTTTAATCCCCGACCGTCCAAGTGGTTGGACACCATTCCTTAACCCCTTGTCCCATCCCAAGTCCTTAACCTGACCCCTTCCAAGTGCTATATAGTCGTAATGGCTTGGCGGTTCTCATGATAGTTCCCTTCCATTCTCTTCCCTTTCCAGCTGGTATCTTGTGTTTGGCCTCCTGCTCCCTACGTCTGTCTTCATCACTTTGCAATTCATGGAGTTAAACTCTAATAGCCATTTGTTGGACCATTTCTTCAATCTGGCCAGGTCATCCTGTAGCCTCTTGTTATCCTCCTCTGTCTTAATCCTTCACATAATTTTAGCATCATCAGGAAACATTGCGAGGAATGAGTCTATACCTTCTGGAAGATCATTCACATATATCAGAAGCAGGATAGGTCCGAGTACAGAACCCTGCGGGACTCCGCTGGTGACAACACGCCAGTCTGAGGTCTCACCCCTCACAGTAACTCTTTGCTTCCTGTTGTTTAGGTACTCCCTCATTTATCCACAAAAAGGATGATTTCGGTAGCGGTATAACCATGCAACCAAACACAGTAGAGAACGAAACATTGAATCACAAAAAAAAAGAATGATCTCAGTAGCAGTATAATTATGCAATCAAACACTGCTGTGATCGAAACATGGGGCCACATAAACGATGATCTCGGTAGCAGTATAATTATGCAATCAAACACATAGCCTCATGGTCTGATGCTATTTAAATTGATGTATAATTCTATTGTATATTAAGTCGCTGCTTCCTCACTGCATTCTCTCACATTATACAAACATTCAATATAATTATAGCAGCGTAGAAAATCATATCTGTACTTACAATGGTGGTAGAAATGTTACACTCGTGGTTATGTTGTGATGGTGTTAGAAATGTCACACTCGTGGCCATGTTGTGATGGTGTTAGAAATGTTACACTCATTGTCATGTTGTGATGGTGTTAGAAATGATAGCACTCATGGTCATGTTGTGATGGTGTTAGAAATGATACACTCGTGGCTATGTTGTGATGGTGTTAGAAATGATACACTCGTGGCCATGTTGTGATGGTTTTAGAAATGTCACACTCGTGGCCATGTTGTGATGGTGTTAGAAATGTCACACTCGTGGCCATGTTGTGATGGTGTTAGAAATGATACACTCGTGGCTATGTTGTGATGGTGTTAGAAATGATACACTCGTGGCCATGTTGTGATGATGTTAGAAATGATACACTCGTGGCTATGTTGTGATGGTGCTAGAAATGATACACTCGTGGCTATGTTGTGATGGTGTTAGAAATGTCACACTCGTGGCTATGTTGTGATGGTGTTAGAAATGTCACACTCATGGTTATGTTGTGATGGTGTTAGAAATGATACACTCGTGGCTATGTTGTGATGGTGCTAGAAATGATACACTCGTGGCTATGTTGTGATGGTGCTAGAAATGTTACACTCATGGTCATGTTGTGATGGTGTTAGAAATGTCACACTCGTGGTCATGTTGTGATGGTGTTAGAAATGTCACACTCGTGGCAATGTTTTGATGGTGCTAGAAATGATACACTCGTGGCTATGTTGTGATGGTGCTAGAAATGATACACTCGTGGCTATGTTGTGATGGTGTTAGAAATGATACACTCGTGGCTATGTTGTGATGGTGTTAGAAATGTCACACTCGTGGTCATGTTGTGATGGTGTTAGAAATGTCACACTCGTGGCTATGTTGTGATGGTGCTAGAAATGATACACTCGTGGCCATGTTGTGATGGTGCTAGAAATGATATACTCGTGGTCATGTTGTGATGGTGCTAGAAATGATACACTCGTGGCCATGTTGTGATGATGTTAGAAATGATACACTCGTGGCTATGTTGTGATGGTGCTAGAAATGATACACTCGTGGCTATGTTGTGATGGTGTTAGAAATGTCACACTCGTGGTCATGTTGTGATGGTGTTAGAAATGTCACACTCGTGGTCATGTTGTGATGGTGCTAGAAATGATATACTCGTGGTCATGTTGTGATGGTGCTAGAAATGATACACTCGTGGCTATGTTGTGATGGTGTTAGAAATGATACACTCGTGGCTATGTTGTGATGGTGTTAGAAATGTCACACTCGTGGCCATGTTGTGATGGTGTTAGAAATGTCATTAGCCTTCTGTAGCAGAGTTAGGTTACTGCTCCCCGCTGCAGTTATTAATAACCTTGTGCTTTTGTCCTTGTTTAAAAGGCTCAGAGCACGTCCATGGACCCTCTTGAATTAGTATAAATCTTAAATTTTTTTCCACGAATCCTTTACACTCCTGAAGGATCTCAAGTTACATCAACCCTACTTATTACATTGATGACTTCTACTATACCTTGCCTCCTTGTTTGTTCCTTTTCAGTTCGGAATTCCGACAGTTATAGGAAAATTCTGTGGGAAAGCATCGTCCAGTGGAGGAGGAGAGGTTGGGACTGAGGAGAGGACCGTGACGCGTACACCACCCACCACAGTCGAGAGATTACTGAGCTGTGAGCCGCGGGACCCTCGGCCCACCTGTTGCCTCCATGTCCCACCCGGCGGGAGGTGTCGGGGGGTCACTCCCTCCACGCTATACAAACTCTAAGAAATACAAAATAATAATAATATATTTATATATATTATAAAGGGAAGGGAGTACCACCTCTCGCTGGAAGAAAGGGGACCCTTAGCCTCGGAGGAAACCACACATAACGCATTAGAGGGAATGTTTAGGTCCCCTTCCAATACAGTTTCTGTGTGCTTTCGCCTACCACCCCCCTTCCTTTTGTGTGTCTTTTTTTTGTTTTATTATGTATTTGAAGGTTATAATATATATATTGGTTGATACGAAAAGTGCGTAACGGTTATGGATCTCATGAAGCCCCTCCGCCTCCGGACAGGATCAGAGGATGCAACAGGCATTTCCCCTCTGGATCGCCACACTTAGGCGCTGAATTATATCTATCTATCTATCTATCTATCTATCTATCTATATATATATATATATAAACACGTGATATATATGTATCACGTGTTAATTTTCGTGATTTACACATATGTATAGAATTATATAGGCTGATCCATTTATAAATAATAAATATTTCAGCCTATCCTCCTATCAGGATAGTACTTATAGCCACTTTAATAAAACGTACAAAAATAGACGGTTGGCCACAACAAAGATAGTTTTACCTGAGGTTTACCCGAGGGACACTAATACTCTAGTGACCTCGACGAGGACAGGAAGCCGGCGGCTTGTTACAGGTCTCCCCCCCCCCCCATTTGTCCTGGTGATTTCAGTTCTATTTGTTCTAGCTCGATTTGAAAATTCAACAGAATTTTGGAATTTATGGCTTCTGCGTGTAAGCAATTCCAAGGGTTTTTAATCCTGAGGGATTTTGGGCAGCTCATATAGGTCAGGTAAGACAACGGAGTAGCCAACACCGTCGACAGACTTAAGACCCAGCTGTGAATATGGCATTGGAGTGTAAGTCCGAGGAAAAGTCTTCAAGGAGGTGACGTATCATAACAAAAGGAAGGGTAAGCTTTTACTATGTGGAGTCAGGTCTTGCAAATCTTTACAAGTGGGACACTATGGAGGCAAGGATGGAACGACACGAAGAGAAATGTTGCAAACACGAACCAAGGGGAAATCTTGTAGGCGAAATATCCGTACAGAAAATGGAAGGTGGTTCAAGTTCAAGTAAGTCCCTGCCAGTTTGGCTTCCTTTCCCAAAAAGAGTACCAATGATACCATTATAAGTCAGCTTAATATAATCTATACAGCCCTTGACAAAAACGAGTTCACAATTGGCCTCTTCATTGACTTGAGAAAGGCCTTTGATACGGTAAACCATAACTACCTTTTACTTAAACTTCACTATGGTATCCAAGGCCTTGCACTGGACTATATTCGTTTCAATCTCATTTACAGACACCAATATGTAACCATCAATAGCATAAGTCTCCCTCACTCTACCATTGATAGTAGGGGTGCCACTGGGCAGCATCTTTGGACCTCTTCTATTTCTTATATACATCAATGATTTGCCAAACGTTTCTAACATTCTTAAACCTATACTATTTGCTGACGATACTACCTTCATCTATTTTGACACCAACCCCCACACACTAAATAATATTGTCAACAATGAATTAAAAAAAAAAAAAGTTCACTCATGGATGTCAACCAACAAACTTACACTAAACATAGAAAATACCTACTATATTTTATTTAGTCAATTTTGTTATTTATAATCATCAAATCAGATTCAACTTCAGACAGACTATGTTAACATTATCAATAAAAATGAGGGAAAGTCCCTTGGCCTATACATAGATAAGAGATTGAACTTCAGCACCCACATAAAACACATTTCTACAAAAAAAAAGTATAAAAAAGGGTCTGTATACTTTCTAAACTCAGATATTATGTCCCCACTCTGCTCTCCTCTCATTATACTACACACTAATCTATCCCTATCTTACATATGGTATCTTTGCATGTGGGTTCACCTACTGCAAATGGTTGTATAATCAGAATTATATCAAACTGTTTTCAGACAACACACAGCCCCCGTTTAAATCTCTTAACATGCTAAACATAAACTTCACACATTCTCACGTGCTATCTACATGTACAAAACCTTGTTCCAAAATGCTAATCTTGATTTCAGACAACACACAGCCCGTTTAAATCTCTTAACATGCTAAACATACACTTCACACATTCTCACGTGCTATATACATGTACAAAACCTTGTTCCTAAATGCTAATCTTGATCTGAAACTTTCCTTGATAGTGAAATAGAACTCATGAGCACCACACCAGAAATAAATAGTCCTTTGATATCCCTAGTCAGGCTAAATCTGTGCAAACACTCCATGCAAATAAAAAGAGCCCAGTCTTTGGAACTCACTCCTTGATGAATTAAAAAATGTTCCAACCTATACCTTGTTCAAAAATAATACCAAGAAGTATCTAATTACGTCCTCGTAGTTTCCTACCTTGTGCTTCAAACTCAGTTCTTGTACTACCCACTTCCCTAATATTAGTACAGTACTTGAAACTAATTAAGTACTTCATCTCTACCAGTGTAATCACCGCTTTCAATTTATATTGTTGATATAAAACCTTTCTACAACATATTTTTTCACCTTACCTGATGTTAGATCAAGTACTTACCCAAAACGCTATTAGTGTTAATGGCTTTGCAAGAATGTAAAAATATCACTAATGTAATTTCAAAAATCTATTGTACCTTTTTGTAAATAAAATATTATTATGGCCTGAAAGCATGTTACGGTTCCAGTAATAGTCTACATGTAAACTAGGCAGTAAACCTTTGTCTTAAACAGATTATTTTCAAGTTAAAGCTTTATCTTGTTAGTTTAAAATATAAAGTCTATATAAAGTCTATGTTGAAAACTTTTTCTTTATGAATTTATTTTTCTGTACACAGATTTTGAATTCCATATTTCACATCGTCAATAATACATGGTATTAACATAGATAATAGCACCAATTATGTAGTAGTTATTAATCCACTCCCATGTGCGTATTTCCTATACAGAGCAAAACATTAAACTATGCAATAGGAATACCTCTCAAAGTAACTTAAAGGATAGTAGAAATACTGCAAATAATGCTGCTGTTTATTACACAAACCATGTTATACAAAACATATCCAAAGCAAAGAATAAGAAATTTATGAATAACTTAAACAAGATACTTCAACTCAAAGTCTTGTCAAGTAAACAATTATGACAAATAAGTGCAGATATTACTATACAGTAATAAAAAGGATATTATATTAAAAGGCTCTAGGCATAGACCATCAAATAGAATAGTACTGAATATTTTAATTTGCTTAAATATTCATCTATATATTATCAATTGCACATTTTTAAACAGAAAAACAAAGTGGTGTGTTAAAAACATTAGAAAGTGTTTCAACATAGAATACTGTAGATGAGGAGATCATAACAAAATATAAGTCTTGACATTGTGCAATGCTAGCAATTCAAAATTTACACATGATGTTCAGAACTTAATTACAGTGCATCAATGCTTATACAGTATGAAACTAGGTGAAAACATACATGTTTAAAAAGCACTTAATACAGTTGGATAAAATTGAATCAATGTTGAAACCCAGGGAAATTCAATGTAAATAATTAGCAATCTCACTGTCTAAATTTCTGACAAATAACATAAGCAAGTAAAGTTTCAGTGAAAAATTAATCACATGTGATTAATTTTCCAATTCACATATTGTACCAGACTTTGATTTACATATTAATTATTAAACTGTTGAAGTGTAAATATCGACTGTATACAAAGAAAAAAGTACCACATGGAGCCCTATTATTATTGTGAATAACTCCTCTCTAATATCCATTTGAAAAATCCAAGATGAGGGGTAAGCCAGACACATTCGATTTTCCCGCCTATGTATTGTACTGCATACACACACCCATGTGTATATGCTGAACATTAAATTGACTAAGTAATGGTAATGTCTTATCACACATTAACAGGATAAAAACACACAATAATGTTATGTTTTTGTGTATTTATGTAAAGATTTAAACTATATCAAGTCTCTTGAGTACAATATATGGTTAGGACAAGACTTGCATCTCTATGACTAATAAGGTTACTACCCAGGGATCTAGCTCTCTTATTCTTGACCTGATCATGTCGCCTCCATTCCCAAGGCGATGTCTTCTAGGGAATTATTGATCAGTTGTCCTTTCTGTCATCCTAGGATTGCTCTTAATAAATGAATTTGTCCAGATGATATTCCTTTCATCTTCCTCCATATCCAAAGGAGAGCAGCTATTGGGACTACTGAATTTTGAATAGAGGGATAAATGTAAGTAAAGTACAGTAGTACAAATAGCAACACTCCTTTGGGTACAGAGGGAGATATGAGGAATACCATCCGGACGAATACCTTTATTAGTAACAACCCCAGCTCTCAGAATTCCAATGATAGAATGGACAACTGATCATAATGTACAAGAATGTAACAACTCTTGTATATATCTCAAAAAAATAATTACCTAGAGAGCTCGGCAGTAGGGAATGGAGATGACAAGATCAGGAAGTTAAGAATAAGAGGGCTGGATCATGGGTAGCAACTGTATTTGTCGTCGAGACGTAAGCCTCGTACAAACCACATACTCGGCAGACTTTGTATTTTCAAATTTTTACATAAAATACACAAAAACTTTAGTGTGGGTTTATCCTATTAAATGATGTTTGTTACTGGAAAAAGGGGTTCCGAAGCATTCTACATAAAAATTTAAGCTTCGCTTTACATCCTTTATCATTTTTCTCTAGATTACACTAAATGAAAAGACAATTTTAGGACAAGTTAAACACAGCTAAGAAAGAATTATTAAGCAAGCCTAATTCAATAAGAAACACTTAAAGTATAAATATAAACACTAAATAAAGCATGTCTGAAGTAATATTTACAAACCAACAAAAGAAGCGTAAGTGTAACTAGTATAACTTGTCACATAAGTAGCAATGTAATTGCAATTACCAGGTCATATCAAATTTGTTATACTAAACTTTAAGCTACCAATGTTAAAAGAAAAAAAAATAGGACAAAGAGACTAAGGAGCAGGTGAACATATTACAATATCATATTGAGGATATCTATAAACTTAAAACTGCTGTGACTGGAAATCACCTCAGCCATAAACTGGTTCTTTGCCACAAGCAAATAACTGCAGTGACTGGAAATCACCTCAGATATAAACTGGCTCTTTGCCACAAGGAAATAACTGCAGTGACTGGAAATCACCTCAGCTATAAACTGGCTCTTTGCCACAAGGAAATAACTGCAGTGACGAAATCACCTCAGCTATAAAACTGGCTCTTTGCCACAAGGAAATAACTGCAGTGACTGGAAATCACCTCAGCTATAAACTGGCTCTTTGCCACAGGGAAATAACTGCAGTGACTGGAAATCACCTCAGTTATAAAACTGGCTCTTTGCCACAAGGAAATAACTGCAGTGACTGGAAATCACCTCAGCTATAAACTGGCTCTTTGCCACAAGGAAATAACTGCAGTGACTGTAAATCACCTCAGCTATAAAACTGGCTCTTTGCCACAAGGAAATAACTGCAGTGACTGTAAATCACCTCAGCTATAAACTGGCTCTTTGCCACAAGGAAATAACTGCAGTGACTGGAAATCACCTCAGCTATAAACTGGCTCTTTGCCACAAGGAAATAACTGCAGTGACTGGAAATCACCTCAGCTATAAACTGGCTCTTTGCCACAAGGAAATAACTGCAGTGACTGGAAATCACCTCAGCTATAAACTGGCTCTTTGCCACAAGGAAATAACTTCAGTGACTGGAAATCACCTCGGCTATAAAACTGGCTCTTTGCCACAAGGATGAACTGCAATGACCTCTTGCTTTAGACAAGTAGCAAACAAAGCTCAACTCTTAAGAATTCATTCCAGTAGGTACATATAACCACTCTGCTTTAGTGTGCCTAACTTCAGACAGCCATGTACATTTGAATATGCCAACTGTTACCCTAAAATGCCTCTTATCCAAAATATATTCTGTATTACTCCACTGCTTTTGACTGGAAATGACAATATATATATACTGCTTACAGTATATGTATATAATTTGACTGCAGTGACTGGAAATCACATTCCTTATCTAGTGTGGCACTCCCAATCATCTAGAGTGTGACACTCCCAATCATCTAGTGTGTGACACTCCCAATCATCTAGAGTGTGACACTCCCAATCATCTAGAGTGTGACACTCCCAATCATCTAGAGTGTGACACTCCCAATCATCTAGAGTGTGACACTCCCAATCATCTAGAGTGTGACACTCCCAATCATCTAGAGTGTGACACTCCCAATCATCTAGAGTGTGACACTCCCAATCATCTAGAGTGTGACACTCCCAATCATCTAGAGTGTGACACTCCCAATCATCTAGAGTGTGACACTCCCAATCATCTAGAGTGTGACACTCCCAATCATCTAGAGTGTGACACTCCCAATCATCTAGAGTGTGACACTCCCAATCATCTAGAGTGTGACACTCCCAATCATCTAGAGTGTGACACTCCCAATCATCTAGAGTGTGACACTCCCAATCATCTAGAGTGTGACACTCCCAATCATCTAGAGTGTGACACTCCCAATCATCTAGAGTGTGACACTCCCAATCATCTAGAGTGTGACACTCCCAATCATCTAGAGTGTGACACTCCCAATCATCTAGAGTGTGACACTCCCAATCATCTAGAGTGTGACACTCCCAATCATCTAGAGTGTGACACTCCCAATCATCTAGAGTGTGACACTCCCAATCATCTAGAGTGTGACACTCCCAATCATCTAGAGTGTGACACTCCCAATCATCTAGAGTGTGACACTCCCAATCATCTAGAGTGTGACACTCCCAATCATCTAGAGTGTGACACTCCCAATCATCTAGAGTGTGACACTCCCAATCATCTAGAGTGTGACACTCCCAATCATCTAGAGTGTGACACTCCCAATCATCTAGAGTGTGACACTCCCAATCATCTAGTGTGTGACACTCCTTTTCTATACTTAGGAGGAATACGGAAGAAAATAACATTTTCTCGAAAAGAACAGAATCATTCCATCTTAGATCATAAGGAATGTGATAACAAAATCCTTCATTAATGACAATATACACAGTATATGCAACCAGTCCTTATTGTTTAATGAGGTACAAAGTTTTAAAATACAAAATTTTATACATATATGCATGCACATGCAGTTTTATGTAAAACCTTTAACAGCTGTAGATATAAGCTTGTTTTGGTTCAATGGCAAACTTCTGGGGTAATACATATCTTCATTATATAGTTACCTCTTTTGTGTGTAATGTTGCATATACAAATAAAAAATACAATTGCCGTAAGACATGATACCTTATATGTCTAGCAGAAACATTTTGGTCATGTTTTCATAATACAGTGTGAGTATATTGTTCATACATTAAAACTAATTTCCCATACTACTGCTGAAGTGTAGTTTGTACTACTGTAAATTGGTAAGACCTAGGTTAGGTGGTATTATCAGGTGCACTGCACCATGTACAATTTTGAGCAGAATATCAACACTATTTTGGAACAACTAATATTAAAAAAATTTGAAAATTACAGTCTACACAGTGGTTTATTACTGTTACATCAATGGAGTAGTGTTCTCCCACACTTTAAATGTACCTTAAACATCTTTGCAAGCCTAAAAAATTATACTACAGTATGAATAAATTGTACTTTCTTTTATCATTATTTACAAGTGACCAACAAATGCAACTATTAAATTGAACATTTCTCTCTATGCTGGCATTTATGGTTAAAGCTTTATCAAATACACACTGCAACAAACCACTGAATATTTTCTATATCCAAATCTTTGCCAAAAGAATCGGGTAAATTTCTACCAGGTGATCTCCAAGAGGCATCCTGACCATACCCAATGAAATGACTGCAGCGTGCATGAGCAGCAGTGTGCATCAACCAATATACACAATAAATCTGACGTGTAACAGTTATTCTCCTGGAGCAGTTCTGTGAGTCAACACCAATATCATGAGCTGTCATGAGCCAAGAGCAAGCAGAATGGCATTTTCATTCGGCTCTTGTTAGTTTGTCGGTATGCCCAAGCGCCTAACAAACATTGTCAAACGCTTCTTATTCTTGAAGAGGTCATGAAATAGGGCCAATCTCTTTTGGAGCTCCAAATTTTCTTCACGTAGTTGATCACGCTCTTTAATTAATTTTGATACTTCACTTGAAACTGGCTTTGCTACTACTCCCTGAACTTCTGATGACATGTTAGTTCTGTGATTATCAGCCGAATTGCTTTCCCCTCCTTCCTCGGCCACACGTGCAATTTTACGACATGCACAGGATTCAACCGTGCTCTCCTCATGTTCTAATCTTCCAGACTCAACTATGGCTTTACGTTTGCGTGCACCTACCGACTGTTCATCAAGTGGCTTAGGTGGTATATTCTGACTTGCTCCTTCAGCTGGGATTGCTGGTTGTACCACAGATCCTTCTTGTTCATTGTTTGCAGATATATTTTCACTGGTGGATTTTGTAACAGACGAATTCTGCCTTGCTTCCTGTGTCTGATGGACAGCTTGGGCCACGGCACCTTGCTCTTCATTAGTAGGGTTGTCTTCATTATGAGATTTTGTTGGTTTTATCAATGTAGTTACTGGGATTGCTGATGGTAGAGTTTGTTGAACAGGTGCTGCTCCAGCAACTGTGGATGAACGAGAGAGATCCCAACAAATAGGCTTGGCCACCTTATCTGTTCCGCTACCAGGAACACGGACAAATGAGCGTACAGGGTCACCAATTTCATATGGAGCAACCATTTCAGTAACTGTAAATTCTACTTATCAAATGCAGTAATAACCCACACTAGACAAGTTAATAAGCTGAAATGGGAACGAGGTGATGGGATTTGGAGGGGCAGCTCTTGCAACCTTGTTCAAGGCAACACTAAATTCCACTTCCTTCAGAGAATCTTCAACACAGGCAGCGCCAATGAGAAATGTGGGTGTGGGGAGGATGTCGATTCACAAATCCAATGCGGTCACAACCCGCACCAGAAAAGTTAATCAACTGAACTGGGAAGGAATTAATTGGGGCTTGAAAAGTAGTTCTTGGAGCCTTCACTTGTTAAAGGCAGTACTCTTAGATTCCACGTCCTGCAGAAAATCTTCAACACAGGCAGCACCAATAAGAAATAGGGGTGTGGGGAGGATGTTGATTCACAAACCCAATGCGGTCACAACCCGCACCAGGAGAGTTAATCAACTGAAGTGGGAAGGAATTGATTGGGGCTTGAAAAGTAGCTCTTGGAGCCTTAGTACTCTTAGATTCCACTTCCTTCAGAGAATCTTCAACACAGGCACAGCTAATACTCAGAACAACTGAACTGGAAAGATGGTGTTTTGATTGCAGTTCCAACAGCCTTCACCTGGTAAATAATGCACTTCCAAAATTCTACTCAAGCAATACAAGGTGGGAAGGAGGGAGGGAGTTGATTTACAAACCTAATGCGGTCACAACCCGCACCAGGAGAGTTAATCAACTAAACTGGGAGGAAAAGGATGGCTGCGTATGGAGCAGCAATTCTTGTATTCTTTGCTTGTGGTATGCAGATGTGCCAAGGTTCCAGGTACTTTACAGGATACCAATAATGGATCTGTAAGTAAAAAGAGCATAATTAATATTATTCAAGTTACAGTACATGCAAAAAAATATAGGAAAAAACAAATATTAACTGTCGAGTCAGAGTTTCTCGATTTTCCTTACAATGCATAACTTAACTAATATTCAGCTATGCAGTAAATATAGATGGGGTTAACACTTTCGCTGGGGGATAGCGCTATTTGCATTCTAAAATCAATTTACGTAGTTCAGGGGACAACACCAAAGCCGTCCAAAATTAAAAAATTTGTAAAAAATCAATTTACTGTCCGATTATTATGGGACTCGTTTTAAAGTGTGCGCCAACATCTTCCCACTCTCTTTATAACTCACGTGGCATCACAACACTGCCGCGTGGCTGCCCACCCAGACGGGAGGCTCATTGTTTTCGTGACCACGCTCGTGACTGATGCGGCCTCCCTGAGTCAAATAAAGTGTCCTTTCCGGTTGTTTTTGCCAAAGGATTTTTGTTACTGCTTTATAAACACTGTACATTTACTCCAAGATGAGTAGTGAACAAGAACAAAGCAGTAAAAGACTCGCGTATGAAGGAAAAGCTAACGAGTGTTTGCCAAAAGTATAGACATATATTTTGTATATATATATATATATATATATATATATGTACATACAAAAGTAAGAAACCCTGGGGTTTCCCCAGGGCTCTTAGCCTTGGTATCACACTAAGGGAATCCCAGGCAGGGGTACTGCGAACCGGTGCCCAAAACTACTGAGCCAACTGAATCCCAGGGACATGTCCACTCACGGGGTCCAACCAAAGGCAACCCCCCCCCCCCACCAGGCAGGAAACAAAAACAAAAGAAAAACCCTGCAAGAGAATAATGTACCCAGGCAGAACAGGGCCGGTCGCTACAATAGGTGAAAACTAGCTGTGCAGTACCCTGCAGCCCTACCAGTGACGAAAACTACCTCCTACCCAGAGGCAGTTTAAAAAATAAAAAAAAAAAACAGGTGACAAAGGGCGGCCTAGTACCGAGCAGTAAAAGACACAGCAGAGGTAGGCCCCAAGGTGACTTGTGGAAGGTGGTCCCAAGCCCTGAGGGCAGTACTCACAGGGCACCTTGGGAAGAAAACCCTAGGCGCATGCAACCCGAGTACTGTAGAATATTAGTCCCGACTCACACACCACCTGTAGAGACAGTCTATGCCACAAGGCACAGGAACAGAGAACAAAAACTGGTGCCAGAGGCACCTGACCAGCCAGCATCACATCAGCCAAGAACTGCCGGTTGGATAGCTGGCACGAGGGTCTGGGACTCCCCTTCCCACTCCCAGGGAGAGAAGGGGGGGGGGGGGGGGGTGCAGACAGCGGTGGCAACATGACATCATGCTCGTTTGCTAATTATTGTTGAGTTTTGTCCTCTTGTTTGGCTTTCAGTAGCAATATTTACACCCAAATAGGAGTTTGTTTTGGGGTGCATATCTTTCTGAGTGCCAGACCCAGTCAATGGCAAACATAGAATGCTTCCAACCACATGGGGATTTCTAGTGTGGATTTCTATAGTCCATTGCTCCTCATGCCTCTCTGAGAGGGTTAGGTTCTGGCTCGTGGTCCCCGGTAGGCAAGAACTCCATGCACAGTGATGCCAGAAACTAAGTTACATATCAGCCTGGATAGCTTTAGGGAATCGACGGGGCATCCCCCAGAAAATACAAATTTTAGCAAAAACAATGTTAAAAATCAGCAAGAAATGTGTGGTAGAGTATTGAGTAAATATGCAGTAAATCTACTTCAACTTTTTTTTTTATGGCAATGATTAAGAACCAGGATTACTATGAAAATAATAGTACAGTAATTTTAAATTTAAGTGCAAGCATACAGTAATGTATGGCAGTGGGCCATACTGTGTAAACAATTCAGACGATACTCTTGTAATGTATACAAAACCCATCAGCTGCAAAAATTGCAACTATGATGTGAAGACAGATGACTAGCTCTAAGATCTGCAGAAGGGCCTCAATATAGTATAACTGTTGAATTAACTAAACTGAAATTTGGTCGAATGGATTACAATGAACCAAAAAGAATTGGCAAAAACTTTTTATGGACTGGAATAAGATGTCTACTTTGCCATGATTCCTTCAGAATAGATACTGCAGGATAAAAAATATTATATTTAATCCTTAGACAGTGGTTATTGTCAATTGTTGATTCACAGGGTAATGTGGTTATCATAAAACAAAGATTTAAACAGTCTGGGTTTTATATGATGTAATAGTTTGCCTTGACTCTCAGAACTACCAACATCAGACACGAGACTGTTCAACACGCTTCCACTACACAAGGGGCATAACTGGCAGACGCCCCACAGGTGTTCAAGAACTTGATAAACACCTCCAAAAGATACCTGATCAACCAGGCTGTAATTCATATGCCAGGCTGCGAGCAGCCGCGTCCAACAGCCTGGTTTACCAGTCCAGCAACGAGGAGGCCTGGTCGAGGACCGTTCCGCAAGGGACGCTTAGCCCCGAAATCAAGGTAAGGTGACCCATCTTGAGGTTATCTTGAAATTATTTCGGGGCTTTAGTGTCCCTGCAGCCTGGTCCTCGACCAGGCCTCCACCCCCCAGGAAGCAGCCCGTGACAGCTGATTAACTCCCAGGTACCTATTTACTGCTAGGTAACAGGGGCATCAGGGTGAAAGAAACTCTGCCCATTGTTTCTCGCCGACGCCCGGGATCAAACCCGGGACCACAGGATCATGCGTCCAGTGTTCTGTTCGCTCAGCCGCCGGCTCCCCCATGAAACAAATCCTGTTACCATTTCATGGTACAAATGTAGTTTTTGTCATAAATATTATTAGGGGAATATGGTCAACATCATATCACGATTTAAACAATTATTGTCTAGGTTTTACACATTTGATGCAAATACTGTATAGATATAAAAGCTCTTGTGGTTGGACACCATTCCTTTCCCAGATTCTATCCCAAATCCTTATCCTGACCCCTTCCAAGGGCTATATAGTCATAATGGCTTGGCACTTTTCTGGATAGTTTCCCCCGTTCCCTTCTCTGTGAATGTGAATAAAGACTAAGTAATAAAACAATCTCTGAAACATCGGAGGATAAAACACAAAGCGTCAGTAAAGTTGAGCACCAGGCATTGACAAGTGTTAATCACAGCCTTGCAGAGTGCCTCCACCCAGTAAAATGATAAATACTCTCTTATTTTTGTGTTTTTCTTACATTCTGCATACAAGTTAATACAGTAATTCTATAATGAAAAATTATTTGTTGGGCTTTCTTTTTTTTTTTTGGGGGGGGGGGGGGGGCATAGGTGGTTATGATCATTTATTTATATATACAAAAAGGTACATTGGGTTTGAGAGTACAAACATAGCATTGATGTTTTTACATTCTTGTAAAACAACTAATACGCATAGATTTAGGACTTGCCCGAAACATTAACGTAATTTAAAGTGAGTAATTTCCAGGAAAACTGAGAAATGTTAACAGGTACAGATAGGAGCTGCCTGGTATGGGCCAATAGGCCTTATGCAGTTACCTTTGTTCTTATGTACTGCATATTGTAAGAAAATTTGATGAAGATTGGTAGATATATTATAATAAAATTTGAGGATTATCAACAGGTACATTGTAGCATAATTTGGGGATTATTAACATTTCTCCATAGCAAAATTATTTGTTTGTTTATAGGAATTTTTCTGTTGTTGAAGTCCCATTTAACTATATATTATTGCCACACATTTCCAGCACACCAAGCATGTAGTCACATGGGTATGGTCAAATGGAACTGTCAAAAGACAGTTTAACAATATTTTTTTCCAATTGTTAAAACCATATACAGTACACAGTTATGCTAAGATAAATCAGCTTATGCTAGGCAGTTAGGCTTGATTGAGCAAGCTTAGGTTGGTAGAATACAAATTGCATCAATTGCATCTTGTGGCATACACAAGACTGTCAATGGAGTTTTAAACCTAGCTAACCTTACCCAACCAAGCCTAGCCTAACCCAACTGGGCCTAACAGCCTAACCATAGCTAATACATCTTAACGATACACTGTATACAGAGTAGCAATCAGAAAACTAGCTTTGTTGAACTGTCTTTTATATGAATTGACCACACCTGACTGGGAAGTTAGGTTTTAAAACCTGGATAGTTCTGAGAGTTCTTCTATGCTCCAAACCCAGCCTGGGGCAAAGCATGACTTGTGAGAGCTTGGTTCAACAGGCTGTTGCTAGGAGCACCCCATAGCATACATATCCACTACAGCCCGGTTGGTCCTACTTCTTGAAGAAAACTATCCAGTTTTCTCTTTAAGACATCTGGCAATATTCCTTATACTCACTGGAGGAAAAGCTGAACAACCATGTACCTCTGATGGGACTCGAAGTGATTTGGCCTGTGTTCGTGTCCTGGCCGGGGGATTGACTGGGCGCCAATCCTTAACTGTAGCCTCAGTTCACCCAGCAGTGAATGGTTACCTGGTTGTTAAACGATTTGGCGGGTTGTATTCCGGGGAGAATTAGGATAAAGGACCTGCCTGAAACGAGATGTGTGCTAGTGGCTTTACAAGAATGTAGGAACACTTGAATATATTATAAAAAAATGTTCATACAGTGTTCTCTGTGACTATAGTACCTGTTAGGCAACAGAGGCTCTGTTTTTCACTGGTTCCATTCTACATTTTCTTCCAGTACAGTATGTTATCTTACTGTGTAAATATGGGACCTGGCCCTTCAGTATTTTCCATGTACAGTATATATTATTTGATACCTCTTTAGTCTCCTGTATCTAGAGTACATTTAGAGAGCATCAAGATGACTCCAATAGTTTAGGTGCTTTATTGTGTGCCATGTATGTTCTCTCAATTCCTTTTATTTTGGCAGTCTCACCTGCTCTGAGAGGGGGAAGTATCGAGCAATTTTAAAATTCACTACAAACTATCTTGTGTATAATTAATTTTTGTCTAGGCAGGCAGCAAGGTATTTATATATATTATATAGT